TCCCCACCTACATTCACCTTTACTGGCTCCATCCCCGCCTCTTTGACCTGTCAGTCTCCTCTCCACCTTTCTGCTCCTTTATCCATCTTCTATCCGCCTCCCTCTCTCTCTCTATTTATTTCAGAAACCCCTTCCCCTCCCCCATTTCTGAAGAAGGGTCCAGACCCGAAACGTCAGCTTTCCTGCTCCTCTGATGCTGCTTGGCCTGCTGTGTTCATCCAGCTCTACACAATATTTCCAGGTTTGCTGCCAACACAAAAACTAGGAGGAATTGAGAGTGGTGAGGAGGATGTAAAAGCCTTTGAAATGATTCAGATGAGCTGAATGAGTAGGCAAATATGTGGCAAGTGCAGTATAGTGTGGATAAGTGTGAAGTTATCTATTTTAGTTGGAAAAGTAGAATAGTAGAGTATTATTTAAATAGTGATTGATTGGGAAATGTTGATATGTTAAGGGGACCTGGGTGCTGTTGTACACCAGTCACAGAAAGCAAGTGCAGCAACCAGTTAGGAAGGCAAATGGTGTGTTGAGCATGCGGTCATGGTCTGAGGATATGGGGTGAACCATTTTGGACTGAGATGAAAAGGAATTTCTTCACTGAGAGGGTGGTGAACCTGTAGAATTCTCTACCACAGAAGGCTGTGAAAGCTAAATCACCGAATATATTTAAGAACGTTATTGATTTCTAGATACCAAAGGTATCAAAGGATATTGGAGAAAGTAGGAGAGTGGTCTTGAGATTGTGGCAGACCCACTATCATATTGAATGGTGGAGCAGCCTTAATGCTTACCCTGGCTCCTATTTTCTATGTTTCTGTGTTTTCAGAAATGTGTTAGTTGGGGAATTAATAATTATCAACTGAAATCCAAATAAAGCGAACCGATCCCACACATAGCAAAATTTACGTGTTTGTTCGAGACACTTAAAATAGATTTGAATAGTCATCAGTGAAAATGCAACGTTGTAGTGGATTGAATGGTAATGTTTTTGGAACCTGATTGAAATTAATCTGAAAGGAAAAGTTATCACATGAATAATGCAAAACTACCAAAAGATACATTATGATTTTCAAACAAATAAATTTTTCCTATGCATTGAGCAAAATTTTGTTTTGTCCCTGGGCTATTGTCATGCTTAAGGGAATAGTTAATGGATAACTGGGAACAGAATTCCATTCCCTGTAGACATCGATTGTGCTCAGTGCAGGGAAACTGTCAAGCCAGCATAACCGGACAAACTTGCTATTGAAGCTTTTTTAACTTTTGCTGTTCAACCTGGGTTTTCATTTCGCAGACACCATTCCTGACTCACAATTATAATTGGGACTTAACTGTTTCTTTTGTACTAGGGTCTATATTGAGGGATAACATTTATCTGGGGAAAGCCTTTGGCGAGCATTGGGCAACAGGATATGTTAGAATTATATTTGTCATGAATTTTCAATAAGTATCAGAACATTTCAGAGCGTAAAATCTTTACAGGAATGTGTGCTAGATGCTTTCAGAAGTGTTCATAGTAGGTGGAACAGCAATTGAAAGTTTATTTTTAAATGCATTAAATATCATTTACATTTAAAATACAATGTGATGCTTAAAAGTCGGCAGCATATGTGTAAGTTGAGATCTGTTTGTTTTCATACAGTTTGATAGAAGCACGTGCAGGAGATATCTGTAATGCTTGTGTGCTTTTGGTGAAGAGATGGAAGAAACTTCCTGCTGGATCAAAAAAAAACTGGAGTCATGTAAGTGTGAGCCAATTAAACACACAATGTCTGTTAAACACCTGTCGACATCTATATGTTCACAAGTGTCCAAGTAATTCATATAGAGTGTGGTATTTTCTGCTTGTGAAATTTGCTGTCTTGAGTAAATGAAGAGAAATTCATTCATGTGCATGAAAAAAATTCAAAATGCATAACTTTGCCTCTTCCAGTTTTGTGTATGTGAGATTGTAATCAACCATTTCAACCATTGTGCCTTGGAACATGCTTTTAGGGCAATCTGAAGATTTTTGTTCTGAATACCTGCAAACTTTTAAAAATCAAATTTAGTTCAGTGGTCAAATTTTAGTTATGTAGACTATTTAATCTCAATAGACTGGGTCTCATGTGTACTTTAGTGGTTTTGCTGATCGGTTTTCTGGCCCTTGGCCAGAGTATTTGGATTTGAAATAGCCACTTACCTATTGTGGAGTTCCTTTTGCTTTGGTGTCTGTATGACCCATCAGGAACAAGATTATTTTAATAAAATAGCTTTCCATTTTTGTATGGTTGAAGAAAGCTGACTGGGCCAGGGAAACACCATGGGATTATAAATTGCAGGAAAACAGTCTTCCATTAGCACCAAGATTCTATGTGAGTGCACTAATGTTTGTGCTCATGTCCTGTAACCCTTTGATTTGGATGTCTCTAGTGCAGGTTGCAAAACAAAAATTATGAAACCTAATACAAAGCAGGAATGTTTTGTACATCTGCTGAGTGATACATGTAATCTAAACATTTCTGTAGTTGCCACTGATGTCTAGTTGGATAGGACACTCTCTTCTTTCACTTACTTAACCTGTTTGAAATAACCTCTAATTGATTTATTTAATATGTGCAATTTGGACACTCCAGAAAAAAACAAGATTTTTTTATTCCCGTGTCAGGTGGTTGATGCACGAGCTGGACCAGGTCTTAAAACACTTGTGAAACCTAAGAAAATTAAATCTGGCTGCGATGGCAAAAAGAAGAACAAATTGCGGAGACTCCAGCAAAAGCTCAAAAGACAGAGTAAGCTTTTTGTTGATATTCAGTTGCTAGTGAGTGCTTTTTGAATCCACTGACCCTTTCTTTCTCTCATTTCCCCAGCTGAACTGAGTGTTTTGAAAGATGATGTGTGCCATTGAGTTAGAAATTTAAAATGAAATAAGAATGTCTGTAACTCATGCTCACATATAAATTAATTGCAGGATTAGCCATTTGGCCCCTTGAGCCAGCTCTGCCATTTGATGAGACCATGGCTGATCTGATGGTGGACTCAACTCTACTTTGCTGTCTAGCCCCTCAAATCTAAGACTACCTTGTTATTCAAGAATCTATCTAACCTTTGAAATATTCACTTACTCAGCCTTCACTGCTTTCTGGGTGGAAAAAAACCTTATCTTCATCTTAAGTGGGAGATCCTTTTTTTCAAATTGTCTCTCTTAGTCCTAGCATCTCTCACAAGATAAGCATCCTCTTACCATCTGCCTTCTCAAGTGCCTTCAGAATCTTATGTGTTTCATTGAGATCTCTGAAGGATTGTTCACATGCAAGATTTCTCCTTGAGTAAATCTGCCTTTGTTGGCTAATGGAGCATTGTATTAAAAAAAAACTGTGATGCCACTTCTGTTTCGGAATCGCAAAATCAAACTCTTATGTACCATGATGTGCAGTGATTTGTAAACCTCCTTTAGTATCTGCTTTTATAATTGGTACCATGTTAAAATATCTAATTATTTGGTGGGGTGGGGGGCACGTGTAGATTGGTTACAGTTTAAACTTAAATGGGATATGGCATTGAATTTGTTTTTCTTGCAAGTTTGCTTGCAAATTTTCTGTGATCACCTGCAGAAATTCTATCCATTTTGCTCTCTGACTATTTCGGCAATCTGAACATTGAGAAACTTTGGAAATATTCTACTAACCTTTCCTTGCCATCTCTAACAAAATCTCCATATATATTCCTTCTTAAAGGAGGTTTTGCTCTTGAGGGGTGAATTTTACCATAAATCAGCTATTTTTCAATTTTGGGGGATTTAAGGAGGGTTTATGTCTGAGCCCTAACTAGTTTTCTGGCACTATTTTCTGGAACACATCTCATTAGGTATTCACCACGTCTGTGTGGCACCTACTTGCACTGTCCCCTGCTCAGCTATGCCAGGCTTTCCAGTGACAGCTGCCAACCAGGTGCTGCCCATCAGTGCAAGTAGAGGGAGAGAACAGAAAGAAACACTTGACAGGGCACATAGATTGTACCAGTGACACTTTTTGTTGCAAATACAAGTTCAGCTTTGTAAGTATATTGCTAGTTTTACATCATCATCTGCCTGATCAACAGTTATTGCACCTGTAAGAATCAAGCTCCGTAGGTTACCCTTCCTTAGTATCATCCCAGCTGACTAAAGGAGTGCTTCTGTTTCCCCACACTTTGTGTAGCTTAACATCTTCTCATTGTTCAATGTGGGAGCATCACGTACTAGAAAGTCTTCAGATGGTTTAAGACATTCACGATTGTTTAGCAGCAGCAAAATTGAAGAAGAAAATCAACCAAAAGCCGTGTTTGCTTCAGGGAACAAACATTAACTGCTTGCCTTTGGATCAACAACAAATCTACAGTCAGTCAATGAGTGATCAGTGTACCCAGTTCCCTATCGGAACTGGTTGCCAGTTAAGTCCTGTTTGGCTTGTTGCCCCTGATGCTGCAGTGCTCCATCAAGCTGAAGGTGATGTTCCCCCTTGATAGTGTCCTCGTCTTACTCCTCAGAAGATTGCCACTGCTTGCCCAGCTCTTCAATATTCATCACTTGTTTTCTTTGTCTGCTCCAGTTGTGCAAAGCACAGTATGCAAAGTTAATGTAGCTATCCAGTCTGTACTGCAAGACTGAGCCCCCAAGACTGATCCAAGCAGTGGGATCTTGAGGAGACCATGGCCCTGGTGAAAGGATGGGTTGTATTGTATTTACGCTCTGCCTCAGGAAGTATGTGATGGAGTCATTAGCCATGGTTGCAGATGACAGTCCATGTCTCCCAGCAACCATCCTTGTCAGGCATCTGAAACAAATGAAATGTGGAAATTATCAAAGATAAAGGCATCATGGCCACTCCCAAGGTACTGGGTGCAGAGTTCTGAGATGTGGTACTACCAATGGTAGATGATACGTACATTAATGGAATAGAAGCCTTTTCTGTTGATGGATATCAGCTGCGTTGTGATAAGATGCTCCCAACATGATGCGTGCGCAGACAGTAGCATCCTGGAAAAACCTACTGCCCAGGCTCCAGCACTGGCCTTGTGTGGAAATGAGATGAAGCCGTGTGGTCTGGAACAAATTGCATTGAAAGCAGTCTTGGTATATTTGTGGTTCAAGGATTGTGAGGGCCTACACAGGTCTCTAGTGGATCCTTGAGAGCAGCTGGTTGCATAAAAGTTCATCATCATGATCACCTTGACGTCCATTAGGATAAGATCACTTCTTTGTGTCACAGATCCTGTTCCCACAGTTGCATAATTCTGTAACAGTGTCTTGGGACATCTACAGTCGTGTGTCAATGTTCCTCGCTCATCTGCAAGAAATGGCATCAGGGATGATAGAGTCTGAGCCTCTTGTAGCTCCTACCCATCCTGAGGGAATCATCTGTTTCAACTTCTTCATGTGCACAGTGTTTTGCACCCACTGGAAGGTTGCTCCTGCTCCTGAGCTTGCTGACACATCTGTTCCTCCTCTAAATCTCTGTCTTCACAGCATTGCAGTCACTATGATGACACCCCTGCTATGGCTGGATCCATTCATCATGGTTCCAATGAATCTCGGTGGGGAACATAACAAAAAGAACAGGTTCTTTGTAATAGGAGCAGTCAACATTTGCATCACTCACAAATGAGAGTTTAGGTTAATCCTCTAAACAATGGGATATGGAGGTTTCTAACAAGGATGGCCATGGAGTGCCTCTACAGGGACCATTGACATAGGAATCCTTTTCCAATGAATGCCTTGGAAATACAGTAAGAAATTAAAAGTGCACTTTGATTGCTGAGACCTTGTATCCCCAGCTCCACACCACCCAAGAAAGACAGGATTGTATGTAAAAACCTCTTGATGAATACTTGCAGATCAAGGTGAGAAGAAATTAGCTCTGTACCCTTGTGCAGTCTATGAGATCTTGGATTTTTTTTGTGAATTGTGACCCACAGGGGCCATTTTTAAGGTGATTACTCTGCTTCACAGAGATGACTGTGATCAATTTATAATCACCAATGAGATGGCCAAGATTGCTTGTGACCAGAATTATGTCATACATTGTTGGACACTACTTGCATTTTCGTATACAGGGTGCAGATGACTTCAGCCTGTGTGGTGTAGGTGCCTGTGGTGTAGGTGCCTGTGAAATGCAATTGCCCCTTGAAGGACCTCTCATCCCTCACAAGTAAAGCCCTTGAATAAAAACATTCGCTGTGGAGCCTGGAGCATGTGTGGCCACAACCATTTTCCATTTCCACTGCCTATTTAAGATGCACATCAGTATGGAAAGTAGGCTCAGCCTGGTAACCACCACCAGACCTCCACGCTCCTTTCTTCCTTGCACTCCCTGTTTTCTTGACCAGTGCTGAGCTTTCACATGTTCCAGTATCTCCCAAAAATACCCCTGAGCCCACAGCTTAATCATTGCCAACTATGGTGCTGCACTGTAGCCCCATCAAAGCCAGGGTTGTGGTGTCTGTCAATTACCCCCCCACACTCCCATTGTAAAAACCATATCCTCAATGCACCAGCATCTCCCCCACTTATATGTTGATTGCCACCTTCACAATTATTGACCCCTTTGCAGCCCACATCCCAACTTCCCAACAGCAGTGGTCCCTACTATCCCCTTTTATTTTCATAGAGCTGATTGCCAGGAGTGACATAGACGGACATTCCACCTGATGGGTGACTGAGGCCCTGACTGATCTCTCCAGTTCTCTGACTGACTGCAGTGAATCCCTGAATTGGTTACATTGGACCTGCAGGACTGACCATGGCCCACTTCCCGTAATTAGTGATACGGACCCTCTGACCCTGCCTACCCATGAGGCTGACGGACTATGTCCAAACTCTTGGACTGATATCAGATGTTGCCCTTGACCTACTATGAACATAGAACAGTACAGCACAGTACAGGCCCTTCAGCCCACAATGTTGTGCCGATCTATTATCCTACTAAGATCAATCTACCCTGCATACCCTACATTTTACTATCCTCCATGTGTCTGTCCAAGAGTTGCTTAAAAGTCTCTAAAGTATCTGACTCCACCACCACTGTCGGCAGCACATTCCACACACCCCCCACTCTCTGTGTGAAGAGCCTACCTCTGACATCTCCCCTATACCTTCCTCCAATCACCTTAAAATTATGCGCCCTCGTAATAGTCATTTCCGCCCTGGAAAAAAGTCTCTGACTATCCACTCTATCTATGCCTCATCATCTTGTAAACCTCTATGAAGTCACCTCTCATCCTTCTTCGCTCCAATGAAAAAAGCCCTAGCTCCCTTAACCTTTCCTCATAAAACCTGCCCTCCAGTCCAGGCAGCATCTGGTAAATCTCCTCTGCACCCTGTCTAAAGCTTCCACATTTTTCCTGTAATGAGGTGACCAGAACTGAACACAATATCCCAAGTGTGATCTCACCAGAGTTTTATAGAGCTGCAGCATAACCTCACGGCTCTTAAACTCAATTCCCCTGCCAATGGAAGCCAACACACCATACGCCTTCTTTACAACCCTATCAACTTGGATCGCAATTTTGAGGGATCTATGGACGTGGACTGCAAGATCCCTCTGTTTCTCCACACTAATGAGAATCCTGCCATTAACCCTGTATTCTGCATTCAAATTCGACTTCCAAAATGAATCACTTCACACTTTTCTCGGTTGAATTCCATCTGCCACTTCTTTGCCCAGCTCTGCATCCTGTCCATGTCCCTTTGCAACTTACAACAGCCCTCCACACTGTCCACAACTCCACCAACCTTTGTGTCATTGGCAAACGTACTAACCCACCCTTCCACTTCCTCATCCAAGTCACTTATAAAGATCACAAAGAGCAGAGCTCCCAGAACAGATCCCTGTGGCACACCACTGGTCACCGAGCTCCAGGCTGAATACTTTCCATCTACTACCATCCTTTGACTTCTATTGGACAGCCAGTTCTGTATCCAGACAGCCAAATTTCCCTGAATCCCATGCCTCCTTACTTTCTGAATGAGCCTACCATGTGGAACCTTATCAAATACCTTGCTAAAATCCATATACACCACATCCACTGCTCTTCTTTCATCGATGTGTTTTGTCACATCCTTAAAGAATTCAATAAGGCTTGTGAGGCATGACCTGCCCCTCACAAAGCCATGCTGACTATTTCTAATCAAACGGTGCTTTTCCAAATTTCTCAGAATCCTCTCCAATAATTTGCTCACCACAGAAGTAAGACTGACTGGTCTGTAATTTCCAGGATTATCCCTATTCCCTTTCTTGAACAAGGGAATGACATTTGCCACCCTCCAATCTTCTGGCACTACTCCAGTAGACAGTGAGGATACAAGGATCATTGCCAAAGGGGCAGCAATCTCTTCCCTCGCTTCCCGTATTAACCTTGGGTATATCCCATCTGGCCCAGGGGACTTATCTATTCTCATGTTTTTCAAGATTTCTAGCACATTCTCCTTCCTAACAACAAGCTGTTCGAGCATATCTGCCTGTTTCAGGCTGTCCTCACAAACGTCAAGGTCCCTCTCACTGGTGAATACTGAAGCAAAGTATTCATTAAGGTCCTCCCATACCTCCTCTGACTCCGCACGCAAGTTCCCTCCACTATTCCTGATTGGCTCTACCCTCACTCTAGCCATCCCCATGTTCCTCACGTAAGTATAGAATGCCTTGGGGTTCTCCTTGATCCTACCCGCCAAGGTTTTCTCATACCCCCTTCTAGCTCTCCTAAGTCCATTCTTCAGTTCCTTCCTGGCTACCTTGTAGACCTCTAGAGCCCTGTCCAGTCCTTGCTTCCTCAACCTTAAGTAAGCTTCCTTCTTCCTCTTGACTAGGTGTTCAACATGCCTTGTCACCCAAAGTTCCTTCGCCTTACCATCTTTTCCTTGCCTCAGTGGGACAAACCTATCCAGTATCTGTAGCAATTGCTCCCTAAACAACCTCCACATTTCTATCGTGCATTTCCCTGAGAACATCTGATCCCAATTGGTGCTCCATAGTTCTTGCCTAATAGCATTGTAATTCCCCCTCCACCAATTAAATACTTTCCCATACTGTCTGCTCCTATCCCTCTCTGTGACTGTAGTAAAAGTCAGGGAGTTGTGATCACTATCACCAAAATGCTCTCCCACCGAGAGATCTGACACCTGACCTGGTTCGTTGCCACGCACCAAATCCAATATGGCCTCCCCTCAAGTTGGCCTGTCTACATATTGAAATCCTTCCTGGACACACCTGACAAAATCTGCTCCAGGTTCCAGTCTATATGAGGGAAGTTGAGGTCGCCCATGACAACAACCCTATTACTTCGGCACCTTTCCAAAATCTGTCTCCCAATCTGTTCCGCAGTGTCTCTGTTGCTATTGGGGGGTCTCTAGAAAACTCCCAATAAAGTGACTGCTCCTTTCCTGTCTCTGACTTCCACCCATACTGACTCAGTGGACAAACCTTCCTCTACGACCTCCCTTTCTGCAACTGTGATACCATCCCTGATTAGCAATGCCACTCCCCCGCCTCTTTTACCTCTCTCCCAATTTCTTTTGAAACATCTAAAGCCCGGAACATCCAACAACCGTTCCTGCCCCTGTGTTATCCGAGTCTCTGTAGTGACCACAACATCGTAGTTCCAAGTACTGATCCATGCTCTAAGTTCGTCACCCTTATTCCTGACACTTCTTGCATTAAAGTAGACACACCTCCACCCATCGAACTGACTGCCACTTTGCCCTATCAACTGCTTGTCCTTCCTCATAGATTCTCTGTTTGCTCTATCTGTCTGTATACTGGCTACCCCATCCTCTGATCTGTAGCACCCGTTCCCCATCCCCCCTGCCAAACTAGTTTAAACTCTCCCAAAATGCTCTAGCAAACCTCCCGTCCAGGATATTAGTGCCCCTCCAGTTCAAGTGCAACCCGTCCTTCCCTGTACCCATCTTCCCCAGAAGTTATCCCAAAATCCACAAACCTGAAGGCCTCTCTTCTACACCAGCTCTGTAGCCACGTGTTCAGCTGCGCTCTCTCTCTCTCTGTTTCTAGTCTCACGAGCCCGTGGCACCAGTAGTAATCCTGAGATTACTACTCTACTCGTCCTAGCTTTCAGCTTCCATCCTAACTCCCTGTAATCACTTTTCAGGTCCTCATCCCGCTTCCTCGCTATGTCATTGGTACCAAGGTGTACCACGACTTCTGGCTCCTCTCCCTCCCCCTGAAGAATCCTGAAGAACCGATCCGAGACATCCCTGACCCTGGCACCGGGGAGGCAACTTACCATCCAGGAGTCTTGCTGGGTACCACAGAATCTCCTGTCTGTTCCCCTAACCAGTGAATCTCCTATCACTATCGCTCTCCTGTTCTCCCCCCTTTCCTTCTGAGCCACAGAGCCAGGCTCAGTGCCAGAGACCTGGCCGCTATGGCTTTCCCCTGGTAGGTTGTCCCCCACAACAGTATGCAAAGCGGTATACTTATTATTGAGGAGAATGGCCACAATAATGCTGGTATCCCCTTGACTGAAGCCTGTCTCCTTTTGACAGGACTTAGACTTTGAGACAGCCACTTGTTGAACCACATGCAGTGGGTTTGCTGCTATATCTGCTTGCATCTGATGAAGGTGTAGTATGGTGCCCTATCGCAATATGCCCATCCTGTTGACTGAACCCTGCTGCTAACCATGACAAGCTGCCTGGTTTTCTGCCTGTGCTAAATGGTAGACAAGACAGAAAGAACTGTGAGCATCTGAATACAAGAGAAGAGCACGAAAAGGCAAGGCAGAGGTGCTGTGAGCAATTGTTGTGTGCATCTGAGTAGGTGCAAAGTGAGTGAGAACAATTGAGAAGCCCTGAGACGCAGCCAGGTCATATCATGTCACTGTGTGTAAAGAGGCCTGGCAGCAGTGTTACAATGATAGGTGTTAGTGTGGCCTACAGTGGAGCATTATATTGTAAGGGGGTGAGAGATGTGCCATGAGAATGTGGAGAGGTTAGTTCATGTCCAGTGCCAGCCTCTGTGATGAGGGTAGATGGTGTTGGAAACAGGCAGATGGTCGCTGCCCTTGGAGCACGCCTTGGAATGTTGGGGACTGCTGTCCAAAATGGATGTGCAGAGGAACAAACAGTGAGCTGCAGACGTCAGGCACCCACTCCAACCTTAACATGGTCATGAAATGTTGCCATCCAGTTTCTCTCCGGCTTGTGAGAGAATAGGAAATTGCATGTCAATGAGGCAAGATTTGTTAATAATGGAATGCTAATACATGCAAATAGACCGCTCACTGCTCACTAGCTAGATTCTTCTCTCTCTGTTCAACACTTCGTTATGGAATTAGACTTTTTCGTCTTCGAGAATCTAATTTTGCTGATCTTGTCATATTTTCCTAACTGACTCGTCAGTGCCCAGGTTGTTCAGGGGCCGGGAAGATTCCACCTCAAACATTAATCACAATTATACAAAGATGATATTACCATCCAGATATACTGACAGAGTAAGTGATGACTGGAATGTATATTTTCAACTATACAGTTTTCACTCAAGTTCCCCTGGTTATTTTGCAATCTATAATTAATCCTTTGGTGTTTTTCTCATTTTGCCAGTGTTTGTGGTGTGACCTATATTCGTAAGCTCTGACAGTATCAATTTATATCTTTGTTCTTTATTGTACAGATTCAGATGCACATAGCACAACATCCAGTATTTCTCCTTCCCAGTCACCCAGCCACAGCAATCAATCTGATGAATGTTCAGATACAGAAACCCAGAAAAGTCTTTCTTTACAACCAGTCTTTTCATTCCTTGATCTGACTTACTGGAAAAGGTGAGTGTTTTGATTTGTTCATCTTGGTGTGTAGCTTATTTAAAATCCATGAGTTGCTAGAAATGATGAAAAATTACTTTTTGAGGAGTTCTTTATATTTTCATGTGTTTCACATTGGTAGTATATTCTAAGAATGCTGGATCACTGGGATCGTTCTGGGGAAGGTGAGACCTGTATAAGCAGGACAGTCTGCACCTAAACTAGAATGGGACCAGCATCCTTGTGGGTCAGTATGCTAGCACTCTTGGAAAAAGTTTAAACTAGTTCAGCAGGGTGGGGGAACACGGAATGTTACTACAATGGGGACACAGCATACTTGAAGAACCAAGGGAGTTCAGTCATGTTGACTTGCAAGGGAAGGTGAGGCTGGCTGGCCTGTGCTTTAATGCCAAGGTTATTATAGTAAGGTAGATGAGTTAGGGGTGTGGATTGACATGTGGAATTGCGATGTTGTTGCGTCACAGAGGTATGGTTGAGGGTCTGTCAGGACTGGCAACTCAACATTCCAAGTTATCGGATCTTCAGGCAGGTCAGGGGAGGTTGTAAGGAGTCGGTTACTGCAGTAAGAGGGAATGATATCTTGGAAGGGATTTCAAATGAGGCTTTGTGTAGAGCGTAGGAATGAACGGGGGGCAGTCACATCACCGGTAGTGTATTAAAGACTCCCAAACAGCCAGAGGAGCATTTGTGTGGGCAATTCAGTGGGTAGTTATATTAGGACAATTATATTAGGGAGTTTCAACTTCCCAATCATTAATTGGGATAGCCATAGTGTAAAGATTTTAGAAGGGATGGATTTCTTGAAATGTATTCAAGAGAGTTTTTTTGGTCCAGCAAGGGACAGTGCAGTGTTGGGCCTAATTTTGATGAACCAAGCCAGACAAGTGTTTGCGCTGGCAGTGAGAGACCAGTTAAGTGATCACAACCACGACACCGTACATTTTAAGTTCCTTATGGAAAAGGAAAAAGGTAGTCTGCAGAAAAGGATTTTGGATTGGGGAAAGCAGATTTTATTAAAATAAGATCTAACCGAGTAGACTGAGAACAGCTCCTTGGTAGAAATCCACAGCAGAATAGTGGGGACCATTAAAAATGGATTTGGTGAGAGTACCCCTTAGGGTGAAATGTAGGAGGAACAAGTCCATGAATGGATGTCTACGAATTCTCAGGACTGGAATAAAGAGGCTTTTACAGGTACAAAGGTAGCAAAGCAACAGAGGCCCTACTGGAGTATAGAAAGTGCAGGGGGAACCAAAGAAAGCAATTAGGAGAGCAAAGAGGGGGCATGAAAAAGCACTAGCAGATAAGATTAGGTACTTCCAAGGTATTCTAGAAATATGTCAAGTGGGGAGGAAAACCAGGCTTATTTGGAACCAAGGAGGCAATTTAAGTGTGAAACTAGAGACCATTGGTTGGACTGTTAAACAAGTACTTCACATCTGTCTTCACTCTGGAAAAGGAGAAGTAGGTACTGAATTCAGGAAGCGGGATTATGAGGTTTTTGAGAAACTTAACATAGAGAGTAAAGAGGTATTGAAGGATTTGGCGGGCTGAGAAGTGGATAAGTCCCCAGGTCTGGATGAGTTGTATCTCTGGCTGCTGTGGGAGATGAGGAAGGAAATTGGATCTGACCTAAATTTCCTGTCTGGCCACAGGGAAGGTGCCAGTGGTATGGAGGACAGCAAATATGGTTCCGCTTTTCAAGAAAGGTGGTAGAGATAAACCATGGAATTAGGGACCATTGAGTCTCACATCAGTGGGAGGGAAACTGTTGGAGAGTATTCTGAAGGAGAGAATTAATCTCAACTTGGTCAGGCACGGATTGACCAGAGATAATCAGTATGGCTTTGTCAGATGGAGGACATGCCAAATAAATTTGATTAAATTTTTTGAGGAGGTGACAGGGTGCATAGATGAGGGTGGTGTAGTTGATATAGTGTATATGGATTTCAGCAAAGCCTTTGAAAGAAAAGGTAAAAGCTCATGAGATCCAGGGTAACTTGAGAAGTTGGATCCAAAATTGGCTTAGTGATTTCAGACAGAGAGTGGTGATAGAAAGCTATTTGTGTGACTGGATGCTTGTGTCCAATATCACAAAAATCAGTCCTGGGTCACTTATTGTTTGTAAAGATATAGAAGAAAATGTTGGGAAGAAGATAAGTAAGTTTATGGATGACACAGATTGGCTGGGTGAGAGTGCGGATATGGACGGATTGGTCAGATGGGCAGATCAGTGGCAGGTGGAATTTAACCCTGATAAGTGTGAAATGATGCAGTTTGGAAGAAGGAATAAGTCACGTGAGTACTCAATGAATGGTAGGACAATAGGAAGCTCAGGGGAACCGAGGGATCTTGGGTCCATAGATCCCTGAAGAGGGCAGGATAGGGTAATAGAGTAGTTAAGAAGGCACATGGGACACTTCTCATTATCACTCGCAGCACAGACTATAAGTTCAGGAGGTCATGTTGGAGCTGTACAAAACTTCGGTTAGTTCTGGTCAAACAGTTGTGGTCACTACACTATAGGAGGATTTGATTGCACTGGAGGGGGTGTAGAGGAGACTCAACAGGATGTGTCTGGGATGGAGCATTTTAGCTACGAAGAGAGGCTGGATAAACTCAGGTTGTTTTCTTTAGAGCAGGGAAGGCTGAGAGGGGACCTAATTGAGGTGTATAGATTATGAGGAGCATGGATAGGGTGGATAGAAAGCAGCCTTAGTTGAAGGGTCAATAACAAGGGGACATAATTTTACGGTGAAAGGCAGGAGGTTTAGAGGGGATTTAAAGATTTGAGGAAAAGTGTTTTCATCTGGAGAGTGATAGGGGCCTGGACATCACTGGCTGAGAGGGTAGTTGAGGCAGTAACCTCACAAACTTTTAAAAAGTACTTAGAAGTGTATTTGAAATGTCGTAACACTCAAGGCTATGGGCCAAATGCTAGAAAGTAGGACTAATGAAGATTTAGAATAGTTTTCGTTGGTACAGACTTGATGGGCTAAAGGGCATGATTCTGTGATTCTAATGACAGTCACAATAATAACTTTGGGCTATCAAATCTTTTAGTTTGAGAGGATCAGTGATCACTGTGTGTTAGCAATATTCTGTGTGAATTTTGCCTGGAATAATATAGAGATAGTTATCTTCTTGTTACAAACGCCTTTTAAAGGGAACTACCCGGGAGGTAGATTGTGGGAAGCAACAGAAAGGAAAAATAGCAAATCAAAATATCACCCTTTTCACTGCCATGTTTTTAATGCTGACATTTTATTTAGTTTTCAGGCCCCAGAAACATATTTGAAAATACATATTGATGGTCAACGATTTGTTTCTGGTGCAGCATGATTCAATATTTGGATTTCCTGGATTTGCCTCCAGCAAAATTTACAGATTTACAAAAATTTTTAAAAATACCCTTGAAAACAGAAATTGGGCATTTAACCCTACTATTTAGGTGGATCATCGCCGATCTGTACTACACCGTAGATATGTAATGTACAAAAATCCTTCAGTTAAAAATCATATGGATTCAAGCCTAGTCTGGAATTTCAAACAACTGCTACATGTTTGGGTAATCCTTTTCAGTACTTAAATGATAACTTGTTAGAATGGAGTGTTTACATTTGTTTTTGATGATCTAAGAGATGCTATACAAAATGATCTGATCTAATTTGGGATCGCTGAAGTATGCTTCCAGCATTGCAATCGTTTCAACTTATTGATGCGATGAAAAGCAAAATCTTCTTGCTAACTGGGCTATGTGTCTATGATTGAACACATTGGCACTTATTTTGTTTTCTTCTTTTGCGCCCTCGAATGTTCTTTCAAACAACCATTTACATTTTAAGTAAATCAGACGGTGTATACAAACACCTCCAAAATTGGTAACTACAGTGTAAATGCATCTTTCGAAATCCTTAGTAATAAAAATGGTAAAGTTGCCATAATCCTGTTTACTCATTAGAGAAAGATGACTTGTGATGGTTAGCCTAAAGGGAATCACACATCAAATGCAGGGAGAGGTTGAGAAGGAGAGTCCTTCTTCATGGTAATCTCAGCCGAAATAGGAATTGAACCCATGCTCTGCATCACAACCGAGCCATCCAACTAACTGAGCTAACCAATCCTTTCCTTGGGAATGAGCAAGCAATATTATCTGCATCCACTATTTAATATTTAATATTTAAGTGGCTATAACAAAGTATACAACTTGCTATGGTTCTGATTAGTCAAACAATAATAAAAATGGAATGTGCTGGAGGAACTCAGCAGGTCTGTTAACATCTGTGAAGAGAGAAACAGATTTAATATTATGAATCCTATGACTGTTCTTTGGAACAATTGTCAAACATGTGGTCTCAAGGATATTAAGACAATTTAGTGTGGTGCACCCACAATGCTTTAACAGAATTATCAAATAAAATTATTGTAACATGGATACATAAAAACCTGTTGCGATACTTCAACTGTGGTAGCATGACAAAAATAGATGCAAAGTAAGTGGTGTAATAAATAAACAAGCTAAAACAATAATGTTACTTTTCCTTTTAAAACTTGTATCAATCTCAGCAAGAGTAAAAATGGATTGATTTCAACATGCAGTCACGTGAGATTGATAATTGTTGAACATTTGTCAAGTTGCAAGTTGGATTTCCATTATTAAAATCCACACCATTGCAAATGCTACAAATATTTAATTTTTGTTTTCTTCTCTGATATAGGCAGAAGATTTGTTGTGGCATAATCTACAAGGGCCGTTTTGGAGAGGTGCTGATTGATCCTCGTCTTTTTAAGCCTTGTTGTAGTACAAAAAAGGATAATGAGTCTACAACACAGGCAGAAACACCACTTCAGGCTATTAAAGGAGATTGGTAATGTGCACTGTAACAGCTGGAAGTTAAAGTTTGTCTCAGGTTATTTTGCCTGTATTTACATCTTTTTGTCTCCAGTGGCAGACATCTATTTTTAAAAATGTTATTTGATATCATTTTGTCAAAAAAGCCAAATCACTGAAGGAATAAATATTTATTGGCCTATGATTACTCAGAACAGTGATTTGACGTTTATACATCTTCGCTGTTTTTGCATTTACTGAAAAAGTAGGCTGATGAATCATTTATTCATTTGAGACCTCCAGACATAGAATACTTCAATGGAATGAATTCTATTGCTGTAATTTTTTTATATAATGGATAAGTTCTATGTTTAAGCTGTTGTTTAAATTGTAGATATTCTGTCTTGAAAGGTATATCTTTCTATCCTGTCATGTCCTATTAAGAAAATAGAGTATACAGTAGTTCATTATTAGTTTCTCCTATTCATATTACCACCGCTTCCCTGCGACTTTGCTCAATCTACCTAATATCCCATGTTCACAATAACCGGGGTTGCAGAATTGTTCTGGGATGTGCAATAGTAACTTATTTGTTTAGTTTAATATGAGCAACATCTAAGCAATAACAATGGAGACCTCTTTATTGTCCATTAATTTGCTGGCAAATGGGAAGTATTTTTGGGACATTCATTCAATGCGTTTTTGATTTTATAGTCAAAGTGAGTTGCTTTTAGTGTGAAGTAATTGTGAAACAAATTACCAGCTGCCAGGTTGTCCTTTGCCTCAACAGCAAATTATATTCATCACAATGGGCAGGAGGGAGTCCTTTATATTATAAAACTACACAGATACCTTCAGGTTATCTTTTTTGCCTAAGTTTGGTTATTAGTGAATGAGGACTGAATTTAACAACATAGATCCTTGATCTTTTTTCTTGATGCAAAAGAAGAGCTGAAGTAAGTTCACATGTGGACATAAATTTTTGCTATTTGCCAACTCCACTGAATTTGGTTTGGAAACAGTAATTTATATCAATTAGTCAAAACACTGTTCAGTTTCTTAGGTCCTTTAGAATTTAATTTCATTTGACTCCATCTTTTACATCTCCCTTCAATTTATTACTGTTGCTGTTTATTAACACATTTTGTATTCATTTGTTTGAAATGTTTTTTGTATACTTCTCAGTTGAATATTGCAAGTCTTAGATTACTTTCAACTGTGAACTTGCATCCTACGAACTTACCATTCACATGTGTCAGAAGCCAAGCTTTGACCTTATGTTGGGAACTCTGCATTATTTTCTTTGACTAACCCGAGTCACTTGTTGCTTATCTGTTGAGTAACCTGACGCCCTATCCACCATCTACAAGGTACAAGTCAGGAATGTGATGAATACTCCCTATTTGCCTGGATGAGTGCAGCTCCAACAAAACTCAAGAAACTTGACATCATTCAGGACAAAGCAGCCCGCTTGAATGGTACCATATCCTTAAATACTCAATCTCTCGCCAAGTGACACTCAGTGGCAGCAGTGTGTACCATCTACAAGATGCACTGCAAAGAACTCACCAAGGCTGATTAGACATCATTGTCCAAACCACGACCACTATCATCTGGAAGCAAAAGAGCAGCATGGGAATACCACCAGCTGCAAGTTCTCCTTCAAGCTGCATGCTGTCCTGACTTGGAAATATATCGCTGTTCCTCCAGTACCACTAGGTCACAATCCTAGAACTCTTTACCTCATGGCATTATGGGTCTCCCTACTGCAAATGGACTTAAGCAGTTCAAGAAGGCAACTCACTGCCTTCTCAAGACAAGTAGGGATGGGCAAAAAATTCCAGCCTAGCCAGTGAACCCCATGAATGAATAATAAAACCTGCCCATTACATTTTAATCTTTGTATTTGGACGTTCACTGTTTCTGGCTTTTCACCATTGAAATGGTACTGTATGATTTTTAGGTCCAAAGTGGATTATGCCTCATCTATTTACATTAAATTCCCTTTTCCATAGTTTCGTCCATTGTTTAATCTATGAATAGACTTGCAACTTATGCTTCAACTTATAATGCTTGCCGTGCTGCCTATCTTTGTCACAGGCAAACTTTGATATGTGGCTTTCTATCCCATCATCCAAATTGCTAATAAATACAGTGAATAGATGAACCCCCAACACAAATCCAATATGCCTTCAATTCTATGAACTTCAGCTTTGGCTAACAGTTCCTTTTTGATGGATTTCATTGAGTGCTTTCTAAAATAATGCCATAAGTATGTCCCTGTCCATTACTTCTGTAATCTCTTTAAAATATTCAGTCAGGTTCATCAGGCATCACCTACTCTTTACAAATGCATGTTGGCTCACTCTGTTCAAATATAACAGTCCATCAAATTCTTTTTGAATTGTGAGTTAAAAACCGTCATGGCCATAATTTTCAGCAGGCAACGATGGATGGACACTTGAGACTTTAACTTCCTTTAAAAATGTGTGTCATTTCATTGCAGCCATTGATCTGCTTTGAGTAATTCCCTGCATTCATTAACGTGCACTAAGATTGATAGTCTAATTTACTGTTAATATTTAATTGGTCAGACTTAAAATTCAGAAATTTACATGTCTTACGAAATTGAAGACTTATAGATATATAGAACAAAACAAACTACTGATTCAGTTCAATGCAACATGTTTATTGGGAAGATTTGCAATTCGTTTACATATTCAGTAAACTGCAAGAACATTACCTTGTAAATAAAATTGAGCTACCACAGGCTTTGAGAAACAATTTTCTTGAAACCCATGTAACTAATGGAGATAGAGCAGAATTTCCGATTAATCAAAGGGAACATTCCAAACAAAATAATTTCCATGTCCTATAAATACATGTGTGAACAATTTGAGATCCAGTTTTTTTATTGAACAAGTCTTGAAATTTATCTCCTGAATGTAGCACGCTCTGTTTTAATCAGACATTTTGTTTATCAGTTAATATTTAAAAGGTTACTTGCTGACTCTTTTTGGTAATGCCAGTGTGTAGAAGGCTAAAGTACCTAAAGTTCTTTGAGATTTTACTTTGTTAAATAATTAATATTTGGCACCTTTCTTAATTGATCTTCTTACCTCCCTCAAAATCGACATGGCCAAATTACTGAAAGTGCAATATTAAAATTCCAACCTTTTGTTTGAAGATAGAAAATATTTAAATAAACTTGTCTTCATTTGAGGAAAGTCATTTTTCCTTTTCCTCCTCTCAATTTGACAGATACATTTCTGTTCAGTAAATGGTGTTATTTTAGCGTTGTATACCTTATTTTTAACAGTTTAAGAGCAATCAAAAGACTCTAAAATGTCAAAAAGATGTCTTCAGTTTATCTATTCAATCATCTAGTCAGTAAAATCATTGTGGGCTTATCATAAAGTTAATTTTATTAGTATAGACAGCACATTGTGGTATCCGTTTTTGTGAAGCAGTGTTTTAAGACATGAATTGTTTCACTCAGAGATGGGGGACAACAGCAAGATCAATTATCTGGCATTACTAATGCTGTTTTTCATCTGGTCTTTTGATTGCATGCTGTAGTGACCAGGGTAACATACCCACTTCTTACTCCCCTCTCTCACCACCATCTAAAGGATGTGTAAAATTGTTAAAGCTGGGAACTCTTGCACTCCGCATTTCCATGTGCTAAAACACTCTGCTGTTTCCATTGCCAACTGACATCTTCAGGTAGTAAATTTTGTAGGTTTTTACCAAAATGTCATTGTGTGTCCAGGTCTTAGAGGTTCCACATCAAGAATGATTACTGTTTTCTGTAACTATCATTGGTGGCAGATCTTAAACATCCAAAGGAAGTGCTTCTTTTCTTAGTACATGCTGCTTCCTCTTTTCTCTTCTTCTTAGCTTCCCGGTAAGTGGGCCAGTGAAGTTATGCAATGCTGACACCTGCTTTTGGTTTGAGTTTTCTCATTTTTCTCTCAAAGTCCTTTCTAAGCCCCTCTATTACATGCAAAACAAACTTTGACAAACAGTAAATGCTGGATATACTCAGCAGCTCAGACAACATCTGACCCAGTGCCTTTCAAATCTTCTGTTCAACTCCAAAGCACGGTACAGCTAATTAAGTTTTTTTAAAATGTAATCACTATTTTATAACATTCTGTTTTATTAGCATACACAAGTATTTTTTCCAGAACAACGTCTTGCAAACAGATATGAGATAATAACAAGTTTATCTGCTTTTGGTATGTTGATTAAGGGATGTATTTTGGCCAGGACCCCAAGGTATTTCCCCAGCTGCCATATAAGTAGTGTCATCTATATTTTTAACTCCATCAGAGGGAACGGATGGGAACTCAGTTTAGCATCTTGTCTGAAAGACATCATCTGAAGTGCTGCATTCCCTCTGCTCTGAAATTGCTTAGATTAAATGCTCATATCTTTGTGGGGTTGGAACCAATGTCTTGATGAGAGTGCTACCACTGACTTGGATTGATACTTGGAAATGGTGATCAAACGACTTCTTATGCCTCTCATCATCCATTGAGAAATGACTAAGTTCTTCCTTTCTCTTTCTGTCTTCCTGGCCTATCTCATCAACACAACTTGGACCACTCTATTGATTGGAGTGAAGAATAGTGTCTATATTCTGCCTGATTTAGGTGTTACTTCTGTGTAGGTCTATCAGTATGTGCACAACACTTGGTGAATTGTATGTAAACTGTTGCTGTTCAGTAACACCCTGCAAGTATTTTGCTGATAAATCTTTCTAATCCATTTGAATAGTTAGTGGCACAGTCCAATGAAATGTATGTATAGATACAGAAATTAATCTTAAATGTATTATTTGAAAAATATGTTTATTGATGTACCATATCTTTTCATATGACTGTAAAATGGAAAAGATTGGTCTTGATGGATCCTTATGAATTTTAAGCATTTACACTGTAAATAGATTTTGATTTTTTTATAAAAAATAGTTAGTATGTTCTTCACATCTTATGGGAACTGGCCCCTGCAGGGGAACGAATTGATGAAACTTTTAGTCCTATTGACTTTCAAATCAAGTCACCTCTGTTTTAAAGAAATAATTACTTCTAAGCATTTGTTACAATAATTAAGTTTAATTGGACTGAAGACTGGATGGTAGTGCCCCAGTATTTTTCTTTTCGTTGAACTAGATCTGAAAATCTACCAAATACCCTTTTTGAACGTTTTACACAGTAGTTCTTATCAGTTTCTAAGAATGAAATCCAGAGAAAATTATGAGTTCGGTAAACTGAACTACAAAAAAATCAGTGTCTTTTTCTTGAGTTGGAAAGAAACAGGACCAATGAGGAATATCTTTGTAACCTCCAAAGGAAAATAAGGCAAGGAGCATATCTCATTGCTTTGTGGAGAAATGCACCTACTTGTGAAATATGGAGCTGTACAGGAATATCCCTAGCTTGATCCTTGGTCAGTGCTGGATGAGTTAACTTCAGGGGTAACATTTTGTGTGTACCTTTGAGCTTGAAGTCTCGAGGTAGAATGAGGGGAAAAAATGACTTGGGTTCAGGTCATGTATGCTATTTAATAATAGCTGCTGGATGGCACGTGTGCATTATGGAAAATGGGATTTAAATCAAATATGGTGCGGTCAACATCAGATTGGCCAACAGTCATTAGCCAGATACTCAAAAAAAAACTTGGGCAAGATATTGATGATCTACTGGCATCTGTGAAAATATACTTCCATATAGCTTTATGCCTTTTGGAGAAAATTGGTCAGAAGGCAATAGTGAGAGCTGGGATTACAAGGGAGAAACTGGGGAGAAAAGGTGCTTTGTGAAACTTAAAACATTAAACATTCTGTATTGTTCTCTCATTCAATTGTAAATGTACACACCCAGTGAGATTTACTGAGTGCTTCAGCCAAACACAATGATACTTCAGCATCCTTGACATAAATTGACTACAAAACATCATTTTAATAAATTGGGCGCATAGCTGCATTTAACTTTACGTGCTTCAAAGTCTCAGTAGCAATAGTAATTGAAATGGCATTTGTTGGAATACTGAAGTGGTTTCCATTCCACCATCTAAATTATGGTTGTTACAATAGAGATTTAGACATTGAACAGTGCCCTTTTGCACTTATTTAATGGCATTGACAAACCCTTTTATTTACAGTAGCAATTCATTGTTGTGAGCTGCATACTTTAAATAAAAAATCTTTATAGAAAGACAGAATACAATTCTCGTAGTCCTTATTTTTTCAGCTTCTGATATGCAGGTTTACCAAGATTCTCTGTATAATGCTTCTAAATAGTATGCAGATACTTTTACATGTGTTAAATTCAGACATGAAAATTCCCAGGTTCAAGGGTTACATAATCCCTATGTTACAATAAACTAATTCTGGACTAAGATTTTTTTCTTCTGCTTTTGCAGCTAAAGGCTTAACTATTTGCAAATTGTGATGCCTTTTCCCTAATCAAGAAAGTATTTTTAAAGTTCAGTTATATCTTTGGACAAAATATAAATATTTTCACATTTCTGTCATATCAGCCGTTATCTGGTTTTCTGGTAAAACTGCTAAATGGAAATTCTTGTAGCTGTGCCTTAATGAAAAACCAATGAAGAAGATTGTAGGATTGCATTTTTCAGGTTTTATTTCCTTTCAGATGTTTGGTGGATTGTTTTGTCCATTGTTATTTATTTATTTATTTGAACATTCCATGAATAAACTGTTACTAATCAGACAGAGTCCAATACTTGTTCCAAAGTCTTCAAGTTTGTGCACTTTTACCAAATGAGACTTTTTTTGTGACCGACAGCTTTCATATGACTGCAATTTTATAGTCACTTGTGATACTTTTTGTATTTAAATAAAGATGTAATGTCAGATGAAAAAAAAAAAGTTGTCTTTGTTTCTGTTTTGGGGTGATTAAATCATCTTTTTAGTTTGGGCAGTTTGACTTCTAAATGTCTACCCAGTTAAGCCCTCACAGAAGTTTATGTGTTTCAATAAGATCACCCCTTAATTCTTATAAACTGTTTAGCTGTCTTGATAAGTCAATCCATTCATTCCAGGAATCAGCCTTGTAAATCTATTTCAAATTACCTCCAATGCAAGTTTTTCCTTTTCAACTACAGGAATCTGAAGTGTACACAGTATTCCAGGTGTCTCCGTCATTTGTTGATATATATTTTGTCCCACAGTAAGGTAACTGCTCAGGGGCCTAAAGGTAACTCCTATGTGTGACCTCATTCATTTGCTATTTCTTATTTCCACCCAAACTGATTCCATGATTGTTGCACCTATATCACTACACACCTTGGCACCGATTCCATCATTTATAAGCAAAGCTAACCCACACCCTTTTCCTTGTTGCCTATTCTTCTGGAATGTTGAAGACCCTTGAATATTGAGTTCCCAATCATGGTCACCTTGTAACCACTTGATTTGTTTTATTATTATTATCACATGTTCCTTGGTACACTGAAAAGTTTTATGTGCAGTACAGGCAGGTCATAACATACAAAGATCATAGGATGATAGAATACGGTGAGGACTACAATGTTACGGCTGCGGAGAAGGTGCACAAAAAGCAAGATCAACAATAGATTTGAAATTTGAGAGGTCCATTCAGCAGTCTAATAACAGCGGGGAAGAAGCTGTTCTTGAACCTGTTGGTACATGTGTTTAAACTTTTATATCTTTTACCTGATGGAAGAGGTTGGAAGAGATCATAAGGGGTGGGAGGGGTCTTTGATGATTTTGGACGCCATTCCGAGACAGCGAGAAGTGTAGAGTCAGTGGATGGAAGGTTGGTTTGCTTGATGGAGTGGGCTGTGTTCACAACTGTCTGTAGTTTCTTAGAGTCCTGGGCAGAGCAGTTGCCATACCAAGCTGCGATGCATCCAGATACAATATATTCTATGGTGCATCTATAAAAGTTAGTAAGAGTCATTATGGACAAGCCAAATTTCCTTAGCCTCCTGAGAAAAAGAGGTATTGTTGTGCCTTCTTGACCATTGCATCAACATGGGTGGACCAGGACAGATTGTTGGTGATGGTCACTCCAAGGAACTTGACGCTGTCTACCACCACCACCTCTGCTCCATTGATGTAGTTAGGGGAATGCCCTCCACCGTGCTTCCTGAAGTCAATGACCAGTTCTTTAGTTTTGTTGATGTTGAGGGAGAGATAGTTATCTTTATACCAGGCCACAAAGCACTTTTTATTTTTCCTGCATTCTGTCTCGTCATTGTTTGAGCTCCGGCCTTCAATGGTGGTGTCATCAGCGAACTTGTAGATGGAGTTAGGACAAAATTTGGCTACACAATCATGAGTGTACAGGGAGTACAGTAAGAGGCTGAGTATGCAGCCTTGCAGGACGCCAGTGTTGAGGATTGTCATGAAGGAGATACTCTTACCGACCCTCATTGATTGTGGTCTGTTGGTCAGGAAGTTGAGGATCCAGTTGCAGAAGGTGGAGAAGAGACCTAGGTCTTGGAGTTTGGAGATTAGTTTGGTTGTAATTTTCATTTTGAAGGAGAAGCTGTCGTCAATAAGTAGAAGCCTGATGTGGGTATCCTTGTTATCCAGATGTTCCAGGTATGAGTGTAGGGTCAGGGAGATGGCTTTTGCCGTGGACCTGTGCAACTGTAGGTGAATTGCAAGGCAGGCTGAGAGGCTAGAGTTAATATGACTCATGGCTACCCTCTCAAAGCCCTTCATAATTATGGAGGTCAGAGCTACTGGGTGGTAGTCATTGAGACACGTTGCATGAGTTTTCTTTGGTACTGGGACGATGGTGGTCTTCTTGAAGCAGGCAGGGACTTCAGATCATAGTAAGGAGAGGTTAAAGATGTCAGCGAATACTCCCGCCAGCTGGTCCACGGCTGAGTGCATGGCTGGGAACTCTACCTGGGCCAGTTGCTTTCTATGGGTTCACTCTCAAAAAGGCCAATCTGACATCTGCAGTGCTGACTGAGGGAACAGATACATCTGAGCTGTCGATGCAGGTGACACTTTTGCTGACCTTCTGTGCGAACCAAGTGAAAAATGTGGTGAGTGCATCAGGAAGGGATGTATTTTTCTCTGCTTTCTGTTCTGCTTCACTTTCTAGCCTGTTATATTGTGTAGGCATTGCCACAAACTGCGGGTGTCCGTGTAGTTAGTTTGGGTCTCTAACTGAGTCTGGTATTGTTTCTTGACATCTCTAATGTCCTTACGCCCGTTTACATAATAGCTGTCAAGTCATATTTACTTATTTCTATTTGTGCTGTCAACTCATCTGTCTTGTTACAAATGCACATGCATTCAAAAAAAGAGCCTCAAGATTTGACTTTTTTTTACCATTATTACTCTCCTTGCTTCTAATTTCTGCATTACTCTTTGGATATCTTCTACCCTTTCATTATTGACTTGTTTCTTTTTGATGTTTTTAAACTTAGCTTCAATTGAGCTCCTCACATGCAAAATGAGTTGAAATCCCTATCTACAATCCTATTTATGCAATTTGTCAGATCACTTGTTCCAACATGGTGCAAATGAAGCACATCCCAATGTACAGCTCTCTCCTTATCCAGTATTGCTGCCAATATCCCAAGAATCAGAACCCATTTCTCCAATACCAATCTTTGAGCCGTGCTTTTAAATTTACTTACCCTGCAACAATTTGCACGCAGCTCAGGTAGTAAACTGGAGATTCCTACCTTTGTGGTTCTGCTTTATAATTTAGGGCTAGCTGCTTGCAATCCTTTAGCAGTACCGCTTTCCTAATCCTACCTATTGGTATCTACGTTGACCAGAACAACTGGATCCCTTCCCTCCCACTCCAATTTCCTTTCCAGCAAGAAAAAGATGTCCTGAACCTTGGCACCAGGTAGGCAACACAGCCTTTGGGACTCTGTTTCTATGAAACTGCACCTATGTTTGAGAAGCTGCTGTTAGTACTCTCTCATGTGTTGTTTGGAAGCACAGCTCCCCTATTGCTCAGTTTACTTCATACCAAAGCTGTCTTACTGCACATTCTTCCCAGTCCATTTCACAGTGATGCTGACTTACTACATGCTGTTCCTAGTCCCAAATAGTTCAGTTTCATATTTGTTATTGGAATTGTTGGATTAAGTTATTACGGGATGGCTTTTTCTTGGTAGCATTTATTGCAAGATTTTGGTGAAGAAGGCATTGGTGATCTGTAGCTGGTAGATTAAAAGGTGAAGAAATATGGAGCAACTGATCTGGGAAAGACATCATACAACAATTAGGCTCTCTGTGTCTACTCATGGCAGCCAGTCTTGAGCGAAAGGGTCCAGGTGCCTCTTCATTCTCCCACTGATGTGGCCTATGAAAGGACTGTTAGCAAGGGCTGTGTCCTTGTGACAGTCAGGCTGTAGAGGATGTAACAGACCATAACAAACATGGACATGCTCAATACATCTCATACTGGAGGGCACATCTCCAGACAACAGAATTGTTGTTTCAGCATGTCAATGATTTTGTTTCACAATGCTGCAGGTTGTTGCATGTTTATCATTGTCAAAGTGTTGTCTGTGTGCACTTGGCTGACATAGTGGGGAGATGAAAGTCTGTGTGCACTTGGCTGGTACAGCAGAGAGATGAAAATCTATGTGCACTTGGCTAGTACAGTGGGGAGATGAAAGTCTGTGTGCACTTGGCTGACACAGTGGGGAGATGAAAGTCTGTGTGCACTTGGCTGGTACAGTGGGGAGATGAGCCAAATATCTCTCACCACCAAGCAGCCAGCCTCTGGGATTTTTGTAATAGCTCAGTGATGTTGGATACAGCTGACTGGTGCAAGCTGAATGTGTTTTGGCTGCAGTTGGGAAAGTGAAGTTTTATCAATAATGTGTCCCTCCCTGCCCCCTGGCTGCTGCACCTCGATAAGTGTGTAAAGACACCTGTAAAGACTAGGCCCAAATCTGCACTGTGCTAGATTTATAGCCTTCCGGTTACTGTGTTCCCACTTCCGGGCTGCTGCTGCTCTAAGTTAAGTGCCCTGTGAAGACTAGTTTTGTGAGAGGGAAGTCATATCTCACAAACATAATTGAGCTTTTTGAGGAAGTAACCAAAAAGGTTGATATGGGTAGAGTGGTAGGTGTTGTTTTACTTGGACTTGAGTAAAGCCTTTGATAAAGTTCTGCATAGTAGACTTATTTGTAAAGTTAGATCACATGGGATTCAGGATAAGCTTGCCAGTTGGACACAATATTAACTTTACAGGTGATGGTAGAGGGTTGTTTTTCAGACTGGAGGCCTGTGACCAGCGGTTTTCCACAGGGGTCAGTATTGGATTCATTTTTGTTTGTCATTGATCAGAGATCTTGATCAGTTGGATCAATGGGCTGAGAAGTGGCAGATGGAGTTTAATTTGGATAAATGCGAGGTATTGCATCTTGGCAAAACAAACAAGGGCAGGACTTATACAATTAATGGTAGGGCCCTGGATAGTATTGTAGAACAGAGAGACCTAGAGGTTCAGGTACATAATTCTTTGAAATGTGTATCACAGGTAGACAGCGTGGTTAAGAAGGCTTGTCTTCATTGCTCAGACCTTTGAGTACAGGAGTTGGTACATCATGTTGAGGTGGTACAGGAAACTGGTGAGGCCTGTTCTGAAGTACTGTGTGCAGTTCTGGTCTCCCTGCCAGAGGAAAGATATTATGAAACTGGAGAGAATTCAGAAAAGATTTACCAGGGTGTTGCCTGGAATGGAGGGTTTGAGTTATAAAAGTAGGCTGGGACTTCTATTTACTGGAGCATAGGAGGTTGAGGGGTGACCTTGTAGAGGTTAATAACATCATGGGGGGGCATAGATAAGGCGAATA